TTGATTGTTCTCTCTCAAATGTCTGTTAATCGCAGGGTAGAGAAATTAATTTTGAATCGGCTGCTGTCGTTAGCTATACCTTATTATAGGAAATTAACGCTCCATGAAATTAACGCGAATCGTTAAAATTCGCGTTAATTTAAGTCGCGTTCATTTCGTTGAGCGTTAATTTCCGCGACGTTAATGCAGTGCAGCGTTAATTTCCGAGCTCTTAATTTCCAGTATTTTAACCCCAATTTTGGAACCTGTCCAGACATTCTTGACACCTGAAAAACATTAACTACAAGCTTTCTTTCTTTCAATATTAACCCCTTATTTTTCATCTTTCACAAAAGCTAAGGCGAAGGTTTACAATATTTCGAGTTTATCTTCATCGTTGTCGCTGTCAGAAGTGATGTCAGCTCAGTTTTGTTCAGTTTTGAATTTTTTTACATCCAGTGTTGAAATCAATTTGTTCCAGTTATCACCACCAACTGTGTCTTAATCGCGTTAATTTCCTTTATAATGAAATTCTACCTCCTCTTTCGCGTTAATTTTCTTTATTCGAAAGTCGTTTTCCATTAAATTCGCGTTAATTTAAGTCGCGTTAATTTCCAATACCTTAATTTCATAGAGCGTTAATTTCCTATAATAAGGTAAGTCGGGTTTAGAAATTGGCGAGAAAACTTGCTCACAGGGTATCTCAGATTATTGTTGTTGCTGCTGTTGTTGTTATTGTTATTATTATTATTGACTAAAACGTGACACTGAAAAGTTCCAACAATTTTAAGACGCACTCTTTCTTTTTTATAAGAATCACTGAAGAATGTTGTTTTTCCGGACCAATTAAAAAAAAACTCAATTCAATAAACCTCTTACTCGTGTAATTTACAAGTGTACTAGTTATTGTTCTCAGACTCTAAAACAATGGCTACACTTGTAAACTACACGTGTAAAAGTTTTATTAAATTGATCCCAGGCTAAATATTCTTATTTTTCCGCCGATTTTAGGCTGAAAATGTTCTTGTATTCTTTTTATTTAAAAAGAAAGAATTTGTTATGTACTTTTTGCGGTTTGTTTATCCCTTTTGTGCTCTATATACTATACATATGTATTTCATGTACTGTTCATCGAACTGTCATGAGCATTTAACTTTTGGCTATAGCTTAGTGTGGTTTCTTCGTTTTGTTGCGTAGTTTTAAAATTGCCGTCGAAAGGTAGCTATAATCATACAGTTAAGTTAGAAATTTTTCAACACACAAAATTATATACCCTTTTCAAAATCTTAGCCTCAGGCTTATTCTTAAAATTTCGCAAATCTCATCTTCGATATTCTTATGAAATATATTCTTGTAAAAAATAAAGAGTGTAACGTGTATCTGTTCCATTTAGCATTTTTAATCGAGAAGTTCGTGATCACGCAAAAGTGGGTCCCACTCCTCCAGACACTGAGGACACTTAATAAAATTAACGTAAATAAAGATGGCGTTCAGCGTAAGCTCCTAATATCGATAAAAGGATTTGCATTTCTCCCGCTGATAAAGTCTCACTCTAACCTTTCCTTTATTTTATTTTATTTTATTTATTTTTATTTTATTATTTTGCCACACACAATGAATTACAAGCAGAATAGAAACGATAATAAATAGGTTAATTAACATTAAATTTAAAATTTGTACATTACTAGGCACTGTTTAATGCCTTTTTTTTGAGCGACAGTTTTTCAAAAAAAAGGCATTAAACAGTGCCTAGGAGGTCTGAAATGCAGTCAGAATACAAAGAAAAACAAGAAGACGCTAAAGGTGAGCTTCAAAGCGATATTCCATGTACATTTTGCTAATTTAGTGAGCAAAGAATATTTCTCCATACAACGTCTTATAATTTTTTGGTTGTATGAATACTTAATTAGCTTAGTTGGGTAGTGTTGTTTTCGGGTTCTTTGGCATCCTAAGAGGCCTGAAACGCAGTCAACACACAAATAAACATAACAACATACTAAAAGGAAAATGTTAATGTACGTTTCGCTCAATTATGGAGAAATAGGATAATTCTCATACAACGTCTTATAACTGTTGTTGTATGAATAATTAATTAGCTAAGTGGATAATGTTGTTCAGGGCTCTCATAGTGAGCTTGGGATACCTGTGGGATTACTGGGATTTCGATCCTCACAAATCTTGGGCCTAATTAAAGTTGTCATGATGGCAAAGAAAGAGCAGGAAGAAACTACACCTGATGACAATGACCAGGTTACAGGTACAAAAACAATTCTCAAGAATTGAAAGAAGAGGTCAGTCAGAAATATGCATGTGTTTACAGAACTGGGGCGGTTAGAAAAACCTTACCACATTGAAATAGACCCAACAGTTACACCCGTTGTAGACCAACACTAGCCGCACTTCGGGAGGGAGTGAAAGCAGAGTTAAATAACATGGAGAAACGAGGAGTGATTTCAAAAGTGGAAGAACCCACTGACTGGGTAAATTCAATGGCCATTGTTGAAAAGCCTGATGGACTTTGCGCATCTGTATGGATCCAGGACATCTGAATAAAGGTATTGAAAGGGAACACTTTCAGCTACCCACTATTGAAGATATCACGACACGTATGGCAAATGCAAAGTGGTTTACCAAGTTAGATGCAAATGGAGGCTATTGGCAGATGAGTGAATGATGATAATCTTTATTGAGGATCCCAGCTTCACTTAAACTAGTGATTTACAGAAGGTTCCTCTTTGGCTGCCGTTTTCCTAAGATTGTTCCTAGATCGGGTATTTTAATCATGAAAATCACGATTAAAACTAAATTGAGAGGCATAAGAAAAAATATTATTAACTGATTTATAAACAAAAATGGCGCGGAGCTCGGCTCTACTGCACAGTAGTGGTTTCCAATGTAATTTCACTTGAGCATTACTAGAAGATGCGCTTGGAAGGAGATCTAAAATAATAAGTTTCCTCGGTCGCCCCAGATGATGTCTCCATAATCAAAATGCGTAAAACAAAGCCACTGAAAAAGGTCAACCTAGCGCTAACAGGTAAATAAGCTTTAATACGTCTCAGAAAACCAAGTTTCTTATTGATCTTACTTGGAACGTGTTCAATGATATCATTCCATAACAATATCCTCATTAATAACTATGCAAAGATATGAAAAAGAATTGACTTTTTCGAGCAAATTGTCTATGTGGGGTCGATGTAGATTGGATGTAGGGTCGATGTAGGGTCCATGTGGGGTCGATGTAGGGTCACGTGGGGTCGATGTAGATTCTATGTAGGGACAATTTAAGATCAATTATAAATTACAGAGGAAGACGCTTAGTAACCCCGCCTTCACTAATATTCTCCACCTTCTGAAGTTTAGTTTACAATAAGAACAAGCTCGGTTCAAACCAAACATGTGGAGCGGCAGACATCATTACAGCCTTATACAACAAGGTAATGGAAATTTGGAAGCAGAAAGTGAAGAAAGCTAAGTCTCTCAAGATAGCTTCCCAGGAGGAACAGAGCACTTAGAGCTTTGGTCACGCATTCATGATGAAGCTGAGAAACGCCATAGGACCCACCTCAACGCTTTGATCGATCGATCAATATTGAGTAAACGGAGATTCAGAAAACGTAGCTCGTATTATAGCCGAAAGGATAAAAGAGAAAAGGGCTGAGGAAAGTACCCTTAGAGTGTCTAAAGTGGGTGCGTGCTATGAAGAAAGATTCTTCCCTCCAAAAAGTGATGGAAACCCAATAATAGCTCAAAAATACAGAAAGATTTGATGGTCTGGAATCGACAGAACTAGGGATCGATAAGCGAAAATTCTTACTCAATCGATTGTATCAAAAACAACCCATTCCACAAGATGAAGACCATACCGGCTAAGAATGGTATAGATTTTTTTTTTCTGGACCTTTGTATTTCTGCGTTTAAGTAAAACTGTACGCTAAAACGATATCTCGTGTCTTATGGTACATTTTGGTTGTACCCTCATTGCCATTAACAATTTGCGCGCGAAGAATTAATGAACTGGAATTTTAAAATAAATTGTCGGACAATGAAAGCGGCAGGAAATAGAACGTGCATAATTCATTACGTTTCAATGATTTTCAGTCACGGGTGGCTTCAAATCCAAATAAGAATGTGACCCAGAAAAACAAACTATGACATCATACCACATAAGGACATGACGAACATAATTAAAAATAAACTATGACATCATTCTTCTAAAAATAGCTAAAACCTGTAAAGCCGGTTAAACCACTTAAATGAAATTTCCCCCCATTTTGTTCATGAGTTGAAGACAAGACTATGACATCATCGGCGTTAATTTATTCTTCCGCAAGTTAAAGAGATTCTTCTGAAAAAAACGATAATTCGGTCCCTACATCACTACTCTCACCTCACTGAATTTCATCCTACTTGCTCTTCATCGACCTTCAAACACGCACACTAATCACCCGATTAACAACAGCCTATATCATCTATATTGTCTGTGCGGTTGAACAGTTCAAACACGAGATATATATGCGAAACCAACAGAGGCATTTAAGTAGCTTCGTGCAAAGTTTGATCATTATCATCGCATTGTTCCAAAAGCTCGTCAATTCCACAAAAGAATTACTTCTTCTTCAAGAGGGTAACGCAAACGCGTGTCAATTCTGAAACCATAACAAATCTGCCATATCTGTTGAAAGAACGATGCCTCGAGTCGAAGAATTTCTCGTTCTTTCGCCCACAATCATAGTGAAAGCCCATACCCGCTTTAGCATCGTTGAAAGAGTAATCACTTTCCTTGCCGAAAGAAAGCAAACATTTCCCTCACTCATAGTTTACTAACCTTCCTGCCAGTAAAGCGTTCGGCTTACAAATCACTTTGTAACATGATTCACCCTACCCTAGATGCCACGCTTATCTCCAAAGAGGGTTTACTTCCAACTTTACTTAAGGTTTAACTTTGCTCAAGCCCTCGCAATAAGACTTACGTTGAGCAAGATACTCTCCCAATCACTAAAAATTCCTTCATATAATAATCAATCACCTGTACAGTTCCATCCGTCTCCCATGTACCCAGGTTTACACGTGCAGTTGTATGCGCCCTCGGTGTTATTACAAAACGCTTTAAAACTGCAATTGTGGGTTTCTGCTGATTTACACTCATCGACGTCTGAAATCATATTGATCAATAGCAAAAGTTAACTTTGCAATGTGGATTCCTCTCAACGTTCTATACAAAGTGTAATCTTGAACTGAGGAGAAAGGTGCAAAAGAAACACAAGAGAAAAAAGAAACACGAAAAAACAAAGAAAATCAAGTTTCTGATGCAGGTCAGTGCACTAAATAGGAAGCTACACATGCACTGTATACTAGTACGTTAAGGCGTTTTAAACTTTCTTACCTTTTGAGGTAATACAGTCTAACCTCTACTAAAGGTCACCTCTCCTCAACGGCCACTTTCTTCTGTCTCCAAGGTGGCCGTTGTGGAGAGGTTAGACTGTATCTAACAAATGGTTTCTATAGAGAACATATCATGGAAACAGTAAAACAGCAGTGCTTTCGAAGGCATGCAAAATGGCCAAGTTAAGAAAGAAACTACCTGTGCAATTATGTCCGTTCCCTTCATATCCTGGTTTACACGTGCAGTTGTAGGATCCTTTGGTGTTATTACAAACTGCATTAGAATTGCAATTGTGGGTTCCTTCTTCACACTCATTGATGTCTGAAATCATAGTTGAACATCAATGACAATAAACTAAGCTGGCACGGTGGATTCCTATCAGCTGTCTAGACAACGGTAAACCCACTGACGTTCGTTTTGTAGCTACAGACGATGTAAGTTGTTAAGGAAACAAAAGAGAAAAAATCAAAAAAACAAACACTGAAACAAACACAAAGCGTTTGATGCCGTGCGAGCAGACCAGACACTAACATGAGTATTACCTGTGCAGTTATTTCCATCTCCTCTATATCCAGGTTTACATGTGCAATTGAAGGATCCGTGGGTGTTGTTACAAATGGCATCAGAACCGCACACGTAAGTGTCTGCTTCACACTCGTCGATGTCTGTAATATTGCATTATTGAAAACCACAAATAATGAGCTTAGTTTGTAATGTGACTCCTCTTACCCGTCAATGGGCGTTCGTTCAGTTGGGCCGATCCAGGATTTTATGAGCTAGGAGGGAGTGGGTGATAAGGGTAACTTGTCCTATGGCGTCCGTGAAACGTTTTAATTGAGTAAGGATGAACAGGAACCTGCCACACCGCGAATTCATACAACGCCACATATTAAAATATAGAAATGATTACATTACAAAAAACTTGTTCTCTTCCTGGCTGTACACGATATCGAGCATAACACGGGAATAAAGTGTCAGTTGAACTGTTCTAACAAATAAGTAAGTCGGCTAAGAAAGGGGAGGTGGCTAGCCTTCCAATCCACCTCCCCTGCATCCACCTCTGTCGTTGCATTGCTTTAAAAAGCAAGTTGTAACAGGGGAAGAGAATGAAAGAGAAGATATGAAGTTTCTGCTGCCATACGAGAACACACGTACCACTGAGAATAGTACACGATATCGAGCATAACACGGGAATAAAGTGTCAGTTGAACTGTTCTAACAAATAAGCAAGTCGGCTAAGAAAGGGGAGGTGGCTAGCCTTCCAATCCACCTCCCCTGCATCCACCTCTGTCGTTGCATTGCTTTAAAAAGCAAGTTGTAACAGGGGAAGAGGATGAAAGAGAAGATATGAAGTTTCTGCTGCCATACGAGAACACACGTACCACTGAGAATACTACCTGTGCAGTTTTCTCCATCTCCTATAAATCCAGGTTTACATGTACAATTGAAGGATCCGTGAGTGTTATTACAAAATGCATCAGAACTGCAATTGTGTTGTGTATCTACTACACACTCATCTATATCTGAAATAAGTTTTAAATTACACGTAAATGACTGAATGCTCAATCGATGAAAATTACTAAAATCTACTGATTTTGAACGTAAAATATTCTTTCTTGCAAAAGCAAAGGTAAGACCCTTTTATTGTCCCTGCATCGTCTTATTTGTTTGTTATACACCCGCAACCGATTTTTGGATAACCCTCCATTTTATTCACTAAGCGTATGAATTTGTCTCCCAAGATACCATAATCGTGACCTGAAATTTCATTCTTTTTTTTCACCTATGACCAATAATTGTTAGTATAACGTTAAGATCGTATTGCGTCATTTCCAAAGTACGTCATTACTTCCAAATTTGCTTTAAGCTTTCATGAATAAAACTTGAATTTGTCAAGATACTTCCCCCATTAACCAAAACGTCCTCTATGTATTTGTGTATTCATCACCTGTACAGTTCCATCCGTCTCCCAAGTACCCAGGTTTACATGTGCAGTTGTAGGATCCGTTGATGTTGTGACAAATTGCATTAGAACTGCAATTGTGAGTTCTTCCTTCACACTCATTGATGTCTGAAATCATATAGAACAATAGAGATTGGCTTAGTTTGCAGAGTGAATTCGTCTCAGCTTTCTAAAAAGTGAGGCTACCATCAAGTAGAAAGTTGTGAAAGAAATGCATGAGGAAAAACAAAAGTTTCTGATGCCGGCCGTGTTAGGAGACAAAACATTAAAAATACAAGGTACTAAGCATTAACCTGTCCGCTTAAAATTTTGAAGTAATATAGTCTATTATCTAGCAAAGAATTGCTATAAAGAGCATCTTATCATGGAAAAATAAAAACAGCAATGCTTTCGATGGTATGCAAAATGACGAAGTTATGAAAGAAATTACCTGTGCAATTATCTCCGTCTCCTTCATATCCTGGTTTACATGTGCAGTTGTAGGATCCTTTGGTGTTGTTACAAACCGCATTAGAACTGCAATTGTGAGTTTTTCCTTCACACTCATTGATGTCTGAAATCATATAGAACAATAGAGATCGGATTAGTTTGCAGAGTGAATTCCTCTCAGCTTTCTAAAAATTGAGGCCAGCACTGAGCAGAAAGTTGTAAAAGAAATGCATGAGAAAGAACAAAAAAGCAAAGTTTCTGATGCCGGCAATGTTAGGAGACAAAACATTTAAAATACAAGGTCAGTATTAAGCATTCACCTTTCCCCTTAAATTTTTGAGGTAATATGGTCTACTATCCAGCAAAGAAGTTATATGAAGAGCATCTTATCATGGAAAAAAAAAACAGCAATGCTTTCGATGGCATTCAAAATGACTTAAAGTACGAAAAATATCACCTGTGCAATTATTTCCGTCCCCTTCATATCCTGGTTTACATGTGCAGTTATAGGATCCTTTGTTGTTGTTACAGACCGCATTAGAACTGCAATTGTGAGTTCCTCCTTCACACTCATTGATGTCTGAAATCATATTGACCAATAATTGCAAAAAAATAAGTTCCCATTGTGTGTTTTAGACTTTCCCTCGTTTTTGTCTACAGTGCATGAAATCAAGAGAGGAGGTTACTAGAAGATAATAACAGTATTAGCAGCAAGTCGAAAAAAATGGTGTCGAATCCAAGGTGAAGCCATTTTTCCCTGTCTTTTTCACTTTTACGAATAAACGTATTAAATTGTTATGGTTGGACCCACAGTTTCGATGTTTGATATTCATGTTCCTTATATATCAACTTATGGGCCCCGTTATATTCCCTCGAAAAACTTATTTGGGTATTTGGGTAAGTTTCCCTTGGGGGTCTCATTCCAATTTTTCGAAGAGCATTTTTATATGGAACTCTCCCACCCCCCTTCCCCTGTCCCTCGAGAGCTCAATCAAATGAGGTTCCTAGCAACGAGCTTAGATGTATAATCAAGGCTCAGGCCGTATCACGTTTTCTTGGTTTAGAGTTGAGATGCTCTTGAAGAAAGGCTTTCAATTACGAACTGCTTCTACTCAACAATAAGCTCTAAGAAACACATAAGATTACGGACACAAAGAGCAAAAATTTGAGGAAATAGCATTTGAAATTGTATGACAGTTAATAGACCAATTGAAACGAGAGGCTAGCAAAACCTTAAAATGTTCGCTACGCAAACGTTTTATACACTGTCGTAGGAAATGACAAAGGACAGCCCGAGCTTGATTACGATTTACGAAAATTTGATTATTTGCATAAAACGAAAGTTTTTTTCAAGAACAACTTACCATGTTCACATTGTGTACCAGTGAAACCAGAAGGACATAAACACCGATATTTTTTCTCTGTGAATCCAGACTGACAGGTACCGTTGTTTTGGCAACGGGGAGTATCACAAGCACTCTTTGAAAGAACAAAAATCAGGTTTGAATTGTAAGAGAAGAAGTTACGTTAAACCGTCTTGATAGAGCGTCCACTACAAACTACAAGATGATGAAGATGATGATAAGACAATGGTAATTATTACGATCCTGATGATAATAATTATTAATAGGGAGCTTATAAGCAACGACGACCTCGAAGGCAAGGAAAACGCAATAAGGTTAAATAGGTTAAGATTAGCCAAAAAAAAAAACTTTGTACCTAGATCACGTTTTTTGTACATTTCCCTGCCCTCGTTGCACGACTACCACGTGGAACTTCTTAGTTTCACCTTTTCTACCGGGACGTGAACACAAGACAACGATTCTTTTCTTTTTATTATTATTGTTATTATTTTTTTTGAACTTAGATACAGTCCTTTACAATGCGACTTCAGAAAAACTCACCAACATTAGGTGACAAATTAAACGACGTGCAATAAGAACGATAGATTTTGATACAGCGTGAGTTCACTCCTTAAGAGACGTTTTCGCCACGTCGTCTTCGTCGTTGCTTAAAGCTCCCTCTAATGTCGAAGATGGTGACTATTGTGATGATGATGAAGATGTCGACAGTGGGATGATGANGACTGACAGGTACCGTTGTTTTGGCAACGGGGAGTATCACAAGCACTCTTTGAAAGAACAAAAATCAGGTTTGAATTGTAAGAGAAGAAGTTACGTTAAACCGTCTTGATAGAGCGTCCACTACAAACTACAAGATGATGAAGATGATGATAAGACAATGGTAATTATTACGATCCTGATGATAATAATTATTAATAGGGAGCTTATAAGCAACGACGACCTCGAAGGCAAGGAAAACGCAATAAGGTTAAATAGGTTAAGATTAGCCAAAAAAAAAAACTTTGTACCTAGATCACGTTTTTTGTACATTTCCCTGCCCTCGTTGCACGACTACCACGTGGAACTTCTTAGTTTCACCTTTTCTACCGGGACGTGAACACAAGACAACGATTCTTTTCTTTTTATTATTATTGTTATTATTTTTTTTGAACTTAGATACAGTCCTTTACAATGCGACTTCAGAAAAACTCACCAACATTAGGTGACAAATTAAACGACGTGCAATAAGAACGATAGATTTTGATACAGCGTGAGTTCACTCCTTAAGAGACGTTTTCGCCACGTCGTCTTCGTCGTTGCTTAAAGCTCCCTCTAATGTCGAAGATGGTGACTATTGTGATGATGATGAAGATGTCGACAGTGGGATGATGATGATGAAAGAAAAAGAAGACGAAAAAAGAAAAGACAAAAAACTTACAATTGCTCTATGATATAAGCAGCCTTCCCTCTCTTTAAAGTCCTCATCGTGCGCTCGGTGTGTTGAATTGTTCAGTTCACATCGTCTTTCTGTTTGTATCTCGTAATTAACACTGACGCAGTTTGGTCGGTTGTAACAAAGCAGTTCACAAAGATCCATATCCGGGACATGTTGGACAATTAAGAACGTGTGGCTCTCCAAACATTTGTCAGCAATTAGGAAATAACTCGGAAACGCCAGTACGCGGCAATTATCTGAATTGAAAAAAAAATGCATTTAGCAATTCTAGGAGCTCATAAGATGGCCAATTCTGACCTTTTCTGGCGGCAAAAGACCTTCGATTAAAAGCAACTGTCCTTTATAAACAAGATTGAAGTTCATGGAACGTAAGAACTTATATCTTCGCTTATACTCCTTAGCTTCAAGCTATGTTTTATCTGGCATTTAATCATGAAACTACCATGTATGTTAATTAAACTTTCTTGCTGGGGTTGTCATGGAATTGCTTCAAACTGGCTTAAAACAGCAATGTACATCAAATAATGACAAAAAGGAGATGGAATTAACTTAGTTCTCTAGGCCAATTTCAATTTTCCGTCAATTGGTCGAGCTCTATAAAGAAAACCCCCTTTTTTAGGAATATATACGATAATTCATTTTTAGTAAAAGCAAATTAAAATGCTGAAAAAAGAAAAACAGGTAGATGGTATTCCCACCTGTCTTAAATAGTGGTAAACTGTCGTGTTTATTGCGAAAATGTTTTCCTCGTATGACGCAAATAACAGAATTCTTTGTTTCCCAGCAACTTCCTTCTTGTTAACGAGTTTATAATCCAAGTATTAAACTGTGGTGACAATATCGAAACTCAATTTTATATTTCTTAAAAAATTTCTTCCAATTATCTCCTGTTATTTAACTTTTAAATAGGTTTCCATGTTGTTATTGAGTCCGCTGTCAACTTTATAATTGAACAAAATAGCAAAACTCAGGCACTGGATAGACGACACAGCTACAATAAATCGCATAAAATTGGGAAAACCTTCTCAGGGGCGGATCCAGGATTTTTTTTAGGAGGGGGTGCACTCGTCTCTTGCTCTACTTCAACACCAATAAACCACATAGTTTTTTTTTTTGCAGAATACCGCTAGTTGTATTAGGGGGGGGGGGGGCACACCCCCTGCACCCTCCCCCTAGATCCGCCCCTGCTTCTCACGGTCTTCTCTGCCTTAAGGACAATAACAAATCCATGGGAAGTTTCAATTTGTAGGAAAAAAGCCAACATTGTGATCGTCTGGTGTTTATTGAAGAAATGTTTTTCCGTTGACAAGCAAACAGAATTCTTGGTTTCTTAGCAATTTTCTCTTTGTTAATTATGTGCAGCAGGATGTGTTTACCCTTATTTCCTCTTATTCAACATTTATTAGGTTGCCATGTTATTCAGTCAGTCCGTTAGCAGCTTCATGGATTGATTGTAATGAATGAATAAACAAATTCTTACATTAAATAGAATAAAACATAAAATAGATGGTATGATATCGAACGAATTTCTGAATTCAAAAGACAATTTCTAGAATGGTAATTAACACTGACTCACGCCCAAAGAGGACAAAAATAAATAACCATTTATAATAGCTTGGTATTTCGCTTGTTTTTCGTCCATGAGAACGTTTGATATTTATTCTGAAAAAAAGACATTCAGTGAACGTCTTAACTATTAAATTGACCACAAGGAAACAAAGACAGTTGAGTGGTATAAAATTCCCGTTAATACGATGACCGTTGGGCTTAAAAGACCCATCAACGTGGTACAACCCATATTATACTAAGCCTTTCTAAAACATGTGTTACAAAGTATAATTTCACCAGTCTAGTAATCTGCCGGATTTTACACATATAACTGGGACGCTCAATTACGTTCTTGTAACAACGTTCAGTAAGATAAAATTGATGCAGATTTTCAAATTGATTGCGTCTGGCTTCTCTTAATTGCCATTCGGCCGAGATTATCGTTTTATGCTGTTGTTCGTATTGTAAAGAAGGTAACGTCTGAAGATCCTTAAAGGTGGGCATATTGAACGAGGTTTTCGAATAAGGAAATGACAGGACAATTTCGATCCAGAAAAAGATTCGCCAACGTCAAAGAGGGTAACAACTAGGGTCGTATTAACGTGGAGTGTTAATATGGTAGGGGTCCAAAGTAAAAATAAAGATAATAAGAACCGATACTGAGGAATCTTGGGCTTCCGAGGGGAAGTGATAAAAAACGAAAAGAAATAAATAGGGACGAAAAGCTCCTCGCACACTGACATTGATAGCAGCCTTTTTAAATTTATTTTGTGTTCTCGCTAATAATAGCCACAGTCTGTTTTCTTCTTGAAGAGCATTCATTTTGCCGGCGACCAGACCTAACAGGCTAAATCAGACACAGAGAGCCTACAAAGATGGGGTTAATCTCTAGTAGTAAGAAAAGAGGTTAACAGTGAAAAAAGCCGGTCTCCAACCAAAATTTGTCATTTAGAGAGTTTCGAAAACGCTTGTTTAGAACTTTTTGCGTTTTCTCCCCTCGTTGCTAATAGACATGGTTCTTTATATCCGGGAAAGGTACATGAAGTCTTTGGAGTCTTACGAGCCTTAAACAATTTTGCAACCACGAAAATTAATTTTTGCGGAACTTTTTGCATGTGAAGTGACTTTTTTACATATGTCTGTTAACTGTAAAGAAGAGAAATTCGCCGTAAGCCGTAAAAAAGTCATATCTATGGGTAGTATATTAGAGCAGAAAATGTTGCAGCTACTCTTGTTTCCAATTTTTAAAGTCGGTCTAGCTAATTATAACCTTTTCTATCTTCTTTCAGGAGATAAATGCGTTTCTCACTATTTTGACGCTCAATCTTTGAAATAGCAAGCCAAATATGATTGAAACAACAAGGCGGAAAGAGAAGAACTTACCATCCAAACAGCAGAGGCAAATTCTTAAAGAATGCATGTACAGCATAAAGAAAATACTGTAGTGAAGAACAACACCCATGATCGCTGCCTTGTTCGCGGAACGCAACTCTCCAGAAAAGTCGAGTGCATTAAGTGCGGTTAAGCTACAACGGGGATGTAACTTATACTATGCCGGTAAACAGTTCCATATAGACCACCTGTCGCATTTTAACATTAACGTCAAAACTTAAATTATTCTTTTTGTTGATGACATAGTTTAACAATCGCTGGAAACATTTTACTGATATTTCACAGTTAACACATAAACATGCACAAACAGAGACAATTCCAGATCTATTGAAGATGTAGCTTTTCTAGCGTTAACTGTGCTCTCGTTAATACTGTCTTTAGATTCCTACAACGTTTTTGGTAAACAAAATTTGGCATAAATTAAAGTTGAAAGGTTTTAATGATCTTTAATTACTCTGATTTCAAAATATTAGGGCCCAGCCTGATGGGCCATTAGCGCCGGGCTAGCTCAGACTCGCTATGAAACTTTCTGATATGAAAAAAAGGGTAAATTGAAAAAAAAAGCATCTATTATTCAAAGATAAGTTGGCAAATTTTAATTATTTTTTTCTATGCAAATGTTTTTAGAACAGAGTAGTTAAACCTTTAATAACTGAACTTAGTAAACCGCAAAAATTGAGGTGGAAAACAAAACATTGCTATAGACAATGCTCTAATAAATAATGAAAAGATATGCAGGTGTTGACTGGATGATTCCACACTCTATTCTAATGCACTAGAACATGATTAGCTCCGTGGTTGTCTACTCAATGGCACCAACCATGTATGGCCACAGGCATACCAAGCTTTTAGCTCGGTGCGTTTTCCATGGTCCTGTGGCTATACCTTTGAGTCCCGCTTTGCGGACATCAGCTTAATACGAACGCTTCGTTATTACGGACAGCTTTCTTTGACCCTGGACAAAGCCCTTACATTTTAACCCGCTTGATAAGGACACTTAAATCCTTTTTTGTAAGCGTCAGTATGAAAATCACCGAAACCTTCCCTAACGTATCACTATCTACTGGCAGCCTCATTAATTAATTTTAGTTCTGATATTCTGGTCTTGGCTCAGAACCCCTGAGTTTTCATTCTATGTATACGTAATTAGTGACATCCTGCGTAACCTCGGTTCGTCTGTGGCGCTGGGTAATTAGTGAAGACCTGATGCTATCAAGCGTTTAAAACTTAACAAAGCCACTGGACTGTATAAAAATAGTGCACACCTGCTCAAGGACTCTGTCCATGCACGCCGTCGTTACCACCTATATATCGCCATAATAGGGACCTTTTCCCTCTACTTAGAAAAATTCGAGAGTTGTACCCTTCATTCTAAGTTGTACCTTACATAAGAAAGGTAATAAACAGGAATCTTGGGTCAGTTTCCATTTTGCAACATCATAGAAAGGGCTATCAACACCCAAATCTATGGAAAGAACGAGAAAACATTAAAACGGTTCCGTTTCAAACGTGAATGACAATACCCAGTCTAACCTAGCTACAGTATCTGTAGGAGTTGCCCATGGTACAACCTGCTATTGTTTATATTCTATGTGAATGATTTGCAAATGTCCTGGAGTTTGCTTTATTGTTACGTGTATACTGATGACTCTATTTTATATTGATATATCGCCCTGAAACATATAATATTTCAAAAACTGAATCTAAAACGATTTGAACTCGGACCTGGCAAGTTGTGTTAAAATGAAGAATTCGAAGCAGGCAGTAATGCGAGGCTTAATAGAAATGAACTCCACTACTATTTCATTCATCAAGCACTCTTTCCTCTTTTGGGCATGGTGCTATGAGACAACTTATTCCTAGGCTACCAGTTCTACACAGTAAGGCTGCGCGAATTTCTAAATCAGATCCCGCGCTTCTGAAAGCGGCACTTTTTAGTGAAGACCCAACTGGAAGTCTTTACATCGCCCTTAATTGCTTGCGTCGGTTTGTAACCTTTTTTATGCAGTCGTGTCACTCTTCTAAATAAGCGTCAATTCTCAAAACTGTACTAGATGGAAGCATGATAGCCGACAATCTTTTGCTTCTAGAAAATGGGAACAGTGGATAACTTTAAACATTGTTGCAGATTTATGGGATCCTTTAGAGTTACTTTAAGAGAAACACCCACCATAGCTGCATTTACGCCACTCTTTTCCAAAACCAAATTGACATCCCTAGTTTAATTTCAGTAGCAAACTCGAAAAAATATAAAGTAGATACAGTCGAACCCTGTTACTACAGAAAGTGTCCTTATAAAAATTTTTTAACGTGTCATGTTATTTAAGTAAACAACCAAACTTCTTTTGGTGAACAACTGAAATACTAAAGAAATACTTAAAAAAAAAACACATTGCTATAGTATTTCTAACGGGCCACCGAGGCCATATAGTCTAGTAAACTCGACCACTACATAGCTCATCACCGCTACACTACAAAACACACTAGCTCCGTCAAGTCACATGACTCCAGACTTCCCGCGCTAGGGAAGTTAATTTCCGGATGTACACTATACAATTGCTATTTCTAGTTTCAACGCAGACTACGTCCTTCTGGTTTGCGCTCATTACTTAATCAAAAACAGTTCTCTGTGTATTAAACTCATTTATTACTTTAAAAAGTCAGCAAATGACGTCTCGTCTTCATTTTATCCCGTCTAGGCACTGTAAACATCGAAATGCTGACATCCGAGGATAACTTCGTCAGAGGCAAGGATTAATACAGCACACGATTGATAACAAAGTGTCATATTATCGAGGTTAAATTCCTCCGGTCCGAGAATCTATTGATTGGAGTCAAGAGCCTATGGCTGTTGGAGTAGAAAAAAGTAACCTTTGTCCGCATTAACGGGTGTCCGTATAAAGGGTGTTAAAATGGAACGGCTTTGTCCAGGGACAAACAAAGCTGTCCCGTAAAAACGAAGCATTCGTATCAAGCGGATCAAATGTCCCTTTTTTAAGGAAAACATACGATAATTCGTTTTAATATTTGTAAAAGCCAAATGAAAAGTCTGAAAACAGGAAGATGGTATTCCCACCTGTCTTAAATAGTGGTAAACTGTCGTGTTTATTGTGAAAATATTTTTCCCTAGTCACACAAATAACAGAATTCTTTGTTTCTTAGCAACTTCCTCCTTGTTAACGAGTTTATAATCTAAAACCGCAATGAAAACATCGAAACTCAATTTTATATTTCTTAAAAATTTTCTCACATTTGTCTCCTGTTATTTAACTTTTAAATAGGTTTCCATGTTGTTCGTTGAGTCCGCTGGCAACTTTATAATTGAACAAACTAGTAACATTCCGGTATTGGAATAGAAGACACAGCTAAAATAAATCCGGCGCATAAAATGGGAAAAACCGTTTCAGGTTCTGCTCTGCCTTAAAGACAATAACAAATCCATGGAAAGTTTCAATTTTTATGAAAAGAGCCAACATTGTGATCGTCCGGTGTTCGCTCAGGAAATGTTTTCCCGTTGACATGCAAACAGAATTCTTTTGTTGTTGCTGTGTTGTGTTTTTTTTTAATTGAATCTTTATAAAGATTCAACAGAATTCTTGGTTTTTTAGCAATTTTCTCCTTGTTAATTATGTGCAGCAGGATGTGTTTACCCTTATTTCCTCTTATTCAGCCTTTATTAAGGGTTGTCATGTCATTCAGTCAGTCTGTTAGCAGCTGCATGATTGAATAAATAAGCAAATTCTTGCATTAAATAGAATAAAACATGGCTTGAAATAGATGGCAATTGATATTGAAAGAATTTCAGAATTCAAAGGACAACTTCTATGATGGCAATTGCAATTAACACTGACTTACGCCCAAAGAGGACAAAAATAAATAACCTTTAGCTTTGTATTTCGCTGGTTTTCGTCCATGAGGAACGTTTGGCCGCGTCTGGCCGTTTTGCAGAGGGGACAGGAAATTAGGGCGTGTTTGGAAGCGAGTGGTGGGCTTGGCAGCTTGTGGGAAAAAATCACGAAAATAAAGACCCGCGAAAATAAGTCGTGAAATTATTTTAATGCTCATGTAGAAAATTCAAATCATAGAAAAAAAAATTCTTAACTTGTAATAGCAACAACATATACATGGTGATGTATCGAAAATATAACGTGTTAACTGGTTTTACTTGTAAGCTCCGTTTTGTACCTTTAGTTAGTGAAATAACACCGGTCAAGCTTTCACATTGATTTTCCAGTTTATCTAGAAATTTGGAAACTTTCAGACTCTTTTAAAAATAAAATTAAGTTGAGAACGCTTAAATCGCGAAATTTAATGCCCTTTTTTTCATATTTGCGTGTAAAAATCGCGAAAATAAAACCCCGCGAAATTCTCTCTCGCCAAAATGCGCGAAATTAAGTACTAATAAGGTACCAAAAGAGCTTCATAGTTGGTTAATTACCCGCTTATACCCCGCCTATACCCTGCCTATACCAAACTACCTTGAAATCTTGGTGACAGCCCTTTCCATGTCAGTGGAAATAGGCAATTTCCAAGTTACCCCAATCAACAAATCTTTTAGTGTAAAAGAGTTGGTGAGGAAGGCAAAGTCCAACAACATGATAGTTTGAAAAACAGCAGACCTTAGAGTTATGTCAGAGGGGGGTAGTTATTTGAAAAAGGGGCACATAGTACATTCTTCACATTACTAGTAAACAGGGAAAGTTAAGTGTGTGCTGCAGATACATTTCTTTATCAGTTGCAGGCTTCAACATACTGATAGTATTACCCTGCTCCAGGCTATAAGATAGTCATGTGCAGTTACTGGTTCGATAATGATGCACAAATCACACGTCAGTTTTTCATAACCTTCCTATGCATCTGAGAGCCTGGCAAGGCTATGTTTCCCTGCGAATAGAGGTTTCTCTCTTGCATGGCTTTTAGCATTTACTTAGTCATTCGCCATCTACCCAACAGACAAGCCACGTGAATGACTTCATAAACAGTAGAAGCCATGCAAGAGAGAAACCTCTGCTGGCAGGGTAAGGCTATGTTTTCAGATGTGTCTGACCTCAAATTGTACATGTTTAATACTGCTCATGTATTGTATATGGTATGATATTCAGCTTGGAGGGGTGTTAAGTTGGGGGAAGCTTATTAATTTTTTTATTACTTTTGGCTTAAAGGGCTACTAAAGCTAGCATTTCTGTTATTTTAGTTTCAAGAATCCGTCCTATATTGTCTTGCAGGTAAAGTTAGTGGACGTGATAAAATGATGGCCGAAATCTATGCCAGGGGTCCTATTGCAAGTGGCATAATGGCCACTTCGAAACTCGAGGCATACGAAGCAGGTATCTACACTGAATATAACCCCTCCCCTATGATCAACCACATTGCATCTGTTGCTGGCTGTGGTGTGGAGAATGGAACAGAGTACTGGATTGTGCGCAACTCCTGGCGTGTCCCGTGGGGGGAAGAAGGTTGGCTGAGGATCGTAACCAGTAGATACAAAAATGGAAAGGGAGACGATTACAACCTGGCAATTGAACAGGATTGCGCATTTGCTGTGCCTACAGTGGAAGAAGACTAAAATAACGAATGATGATAAGGAATTTTCCAAGCTTTTTTTTTTCTAACAAAAACGATCGATCATTTTTTAGTAAAAAAAAAAAAAGTTAAGCAGCATTTTTTAGTTATACTTTGGTCTCTCACTGTTCAAATCTCATAAGCATGTAAATCGTAGAGTTTCCTTAATAAAATATTAAGCTCAAAGTGTATAAATGACCTGTTTGTTTAAGTACTTGTACTTTTTTCAAAGAAGTAAATGACTTATGGCCGGGTTTGTTTCCAAAGAATGTTCGTTACGGTGTCATTGGTAACTTGCTAGCAGGATTTAGGGGGCATGATTGAACGCTATGTGACAACCTGCGAGCAAAGCTTTTCTGTCGCACTCGAATCAAACACTTTTCCGTTATTTATCAAGGACCTAAATTTTATAACATCTTAAACACCAACATCGTCAACTCTTCCCCACCCCCCCCCCCCAACCCCCTTCTCCCCCGGCCCTTTCTTCTTTTAAAAAAACCACTTAAGGCATCTATTTTTAATAGCTATTAGTACATTCTAACTAAAATCTTGGAAGAAAAACTTTAATATTCAACATTTGTGATATATTGTAATAAATTGTTATTTTAATTTCGTTTTGATAATGATTGTATCCGTTGCCGTAATTTTTAGGTCATATTTGAAAAATTGTAATCGAGTAGGCTAATTAACATAAGCTATAACGTTTCCTTAGGCCTCCTCGCCATTGCTTTCTAAGCACATTGCTTTCTATCCTGATCCGCGCGAATGTGCAGAGTTCCCAAACTTCAAGACCTTGCACAAGACCAAGTTTCTTTGATTATTGGAAAGGCAGCCAATAAATCTTGTCCTTCAGATCCTGCACCTACATCTGTGGTTCTACAGGTTCTTGATGTGTTGTTACCGATAATCACCTGTATGATCAACATGTCGTATGAATCTGTCAGTTCGCAGAGGAATGGAGGTAGGCACTCGTATTAGGTATACAAAAACTTTCGCCCAGTAAGCAATCTCCCGTATGTCTCTAAGTTATCTGAAAGAGCAGCTGCTGATCAATTGATTGATCAGCTACAGTCGTCCCACAGTCGGCTTACATGCAAGAAACATGATAGTACTGAATCAGTGCTTTTAAAAGTGAAGAACGATATCTTATTGAATATGGATGCGCAGAAGGTGATCTTGCTGGTTCTTTTAGATCTCAGGGCAGCTTTCGATACTGTACGCCACGACATCTTACTGGATCGGTTAAGGTCAAGACTTGGTGTGACTGACCAGGCACTCAACTGGTTTACATCGTACCTCTCCGACCGTACACTGCGTGTTTCAGTTAATGAAGGGCTGTCAGATACTTTTCCGCTCGCGTAAGGGGTGCCGCAAGGGTCATCCCTTTGCCCGCTTCTGTTAACGGTATATACCAGCGAACTATTCGATATAGTGGGTCGACTCTTGCCAAGCGTGCACTCTTACGCCAACATTAATGACACGCAACTGCATGTACTTGGCGTTCAGTCCAGACGTGCAGGGTGACGACGCTAGTGCGGTAAAGGCTATATGTGATTGCATCATGGATTTAAGAAAGTGGATGATTAGAGATCGACTTATGTTACATGATGATAAGACTGAGTTTTTGCTCCTTGGTACCAAGCAAAAGCTAGATAAGGTTGACATTAATCGTATTACTGTTGGTGAGTCTGTTGTGAACCCAAAGCCGGTTGTCACAAATTTAGGTTCCTGGTTTGATTCTCAGCTTAGTATGTCTACTTATATTAGCAAGCTCTGTAACTCAGCTTTTTTTGCATCTACATAACATCAGTCGTATTCGCAAGTTCCTAAGCCCCTTGGAAACTAAGTCCTTGGTACATGCATTCTTTACTTCTCGCGTTGACTACTGCAATAGCCTTTTGTATGGTCTACCTGCCTCGCAGCTTAACAAGGTTCAGCGTGTTTTAAACACTGCAGCAAGGCTTGTTTGCTGCGCTCCGCGCTTCAGCCATATTACACCACTGATGTATGAGCTACATTGGCTTCCGTTAAAGCAGCGCATTCATTTTAAGATTTTGTTATTTGCATTTGAGGCTGTCCATGGTATAGCCCCTACATACATTCAGAACTTAGTTTCTTTGAAATCGAAAGGCACATATAACCTCAGATCGTCAAGTGGGTTTTTGCTAGCATCATTAACATTTAGAACTAAGGTCACACAAGGCGATAGGTCATTCCAGGTGGCTGCGCCCAAGTTACGGAATGCTCTTCCGCGTGAGCTTCGCGATATTCCAGACTTGCATACTTTTAAGAGCAATATTAAGACGTATCTTTTTAAGTTTGCTCATGGTTGAATGAATTTTAATTGTTACATATCGATATTTTAGATTTTTATGGGGGAAGTGTACATATTTTTATTGTTTTGCTTATTGTAAATAGGTTCGTAGTTTGTAATGCACATTTAATCACTTAATCATTTAATCAATTTTTATGAATACCTGCGCAATATAAGTGATTAATTATTATTATTATTATTATTATTATTATTATTATTATTATTATTACATTTTTGTATCTTTTTTGTAATTGTATTTATTTGCTTCTTACACACATAACATAAACATAGATTCTTAAATACAGAAGAAATACTCTTAATAAAAAAAGAAACAAAATTAATTAACAAATTGATAGTAAGGTTGCTAAACAGGATATTGCGTAATAAAATATTTTTTTTATCTTTTGCGATCTGTTCATATTGGATTAAAAAAAAAGCAGGGAAAAAAAGGAGAGTTGTCTCAAATAAATGCCTTTTCTGAATAATTTTTTTTCCACTTTCTTCAAAAGTTTTCTCCGTTCCCTTAATAACTGAAAATTGTTTTTCAGTATAAAGTTCTTTTTAACATGATAAATATACTCTACAATAGATGGTTTTGAACTTTTGTATTTGCAACTAAACATAGAGTGATTTTGCTCGAACCGCGAAACAGATACCAACAAATAGTGCCAAATAGCAAGAGGTGAACAAAAGAAGACAATGATATTATAGTGCATAATAGTGCGTAGTATTCTACTATCTATTTCACGGGTCAAGTAAAATCACTGTAAAACCTAGCCAAGAGTAGACAATGACTAACTAAAATATCTCCTCCTTCTTTCCCTGTAAGACCTAAACATTTACTTGTTTTTCTAAGGCGCCAGAGGCTTCCATCAAATTAACTGAAACTAAGAAATCGTTGCCATTAACCCAAAAACCTCTTGTCACGTCGGGACAATCCCAAAAGAATCTTGGGTTCCTTGGCAAAAGCAACAGAGATCGGTATCTGCAGCTTGAATCTTAAATAAAAATACATTGGTCGTAATTCTTCTGTGGAGGAATTAAAGAAACTTTCCGAGTTTCGTGCTTAAAGTATATTTCATACTAGATAATTAATAAATGGAACCCCGGTCGAAATTCTCCTCATCTTTGAATTCAAAATCTCTTTTCCATTTTTTCGGCTTTTCATAGGAAGAGTACGTTTCTTATTAATGAACGCCTTATAAGCTAGTTGGCTTGGGTTATTGTAAGAGACTAGCTTTGCGGGCAACTTTTCAGAATTTTAAATGACCGAAGCCTGACTCCATAATATTCTAAAAAGGAAACAGTAGGGCACAATTCTTTCCTAAAACAGCTGTATTCCAGAAATTTGGAATCACTTGTCAAAACATCATCAATATTCTGTACTCCTGCATCAAACCATTTCTTATAAAAGATAGTCTTGCCTGCGATTCTAATCTTAGAGAGTTGTTCCATATTCCTTTTGCGTTAAACTCTGCAAAGGATGCAAAGGAATCTCTGTAATTTAGATCAGTCAACAGCTCAATAAGTTCCTGCAGAAATTTTCTTTTACAGCAAGGCTCTTTGCATCTTTTCGAGACAAATTGCCAGTAAAACCCAGCTTTCCCGCAAATTTAGGCAGATGCAAGTCTAAAAAGCATTTCCACTTAAAGTGGAAATTGTCAAAAATATTAAATGTACTTAATGAGTATCCATGTAATTTTTAAAGTCTTGTTAAATTCTATAATGTTTAACATCTTCAAACCTCCATCTCGATAGTCCGATTTCAATTCGTTTAATTTTGTCTCCCTCGTTATCCCAAAAATATTAAAAAGGAGGACATTTGTTTGTGTTATGAATTTTGGACACGAAGCTATGCTATTGACTACATGACATAGACCATTTGAGATGCGGCTGAGTAAAGCCTTGACAACTGCAATGAGTTTACCAATTAAAGTTAGACTTTTATGGTGCCAATTGTTCAAAACGTTCTCCACATTTCTGATTCTCTCCTCGTAATTTATTCTAAGACCTTCTTGCTGATCCACACAAAACCAAACCCCCGCAGCTTTATCCTAACCATTTGCCCATGCTAGCTTTTTTTCGGGGCAGAAGATTTGATCAAAACCCCTTAAAGAACCAATCCAAAGAACTTTTTGGCAATTAACTTTTAACCCCGAAACCTCGCCAAACCCGTTCTAGCATATAAAGGGAACCCTAAAGTGATGCCTGCAAAAACCGAGAATAAAAGTGGTGTCATCTGCAAACTGGCTTAACTTACATTCAGTACTTCCGACTGATATTCCCTTAATCTGAAAATCTTTACAAACAGGCAGTAGTCAAAATTTCGGTACACATTATAAATATATATGGAGAAAGAGGGCAACCCTGTCTAACACCCCGCCCAAATTCAAAGAAAGAACCGGACCATCCGTTATTTATAACACAGCTCTGGATATCGCAGTAGAAAATATTAAAAATCTAATTGACGAAAGAAGGGCTGAAGCCAAAGGAGAGTAATGTTTGCAAAGATTCTTCGATACCTACCGCTGTCATCAGTCATTCAAATATTATCAAGTACATGAAGGCGAATGTTTCAGCTATCCCAAATATACGTTGTTTTACATGAAGTACTAAGTCCCCATACTGCTGTATTATGGAAATGTTTCACATTAAGGGATACAGGTCTAGGACGCCCTGCCTTTCACACAAGGCAAAGTTTTGTATATTACCTGTTACTTCGGCGGAGTGTGAAAGGTCATTTAGCACGTTAGAACGCCTAAAGACGTCCTTAAGAAGCGCCATGACCACGGAGAGGCAGTCGGGTCTGGCAATGATGAACATTCATTATGGTAGAGCGATCGATATTGATGAGATCGTTAACATCTTTGCCACTCAGCATCCACGCCGCCTCTTACTAATAGACATTTTGACTGATGAGCAGTGAGACTAAAATAGAGTAATTTATGTTATGTGGAACTTAATTCATCTATGCAGCTGTTTTGTAGGCTTGTCAACCACTAGCCACCTCCACTTCGGTGAATAATTGCTATCTTTTTATGAATATATACTGATATGTCTTGTGTCCGCCCTGACGTCACGGTGCATTTTGTGTTTCCAGGCAAACATGGCGCTCTATCATGACAGCTGATTCTGCGAATGTTACTCAATTTACTAGCGGTGAGTCACAAGCAATTTCGCATGCAAATGACACACAAAAGCAAGCATAACAACGCTGGATTAACCAAGTGGCTGGGAATCCTCGCCGGGGAAGATTTTCCACCGAAACTCCTATGGAGCGAGAACACCGACTTGAAATTCAGCGCAAGCAACGGAGAAGAAACCGCGGATAAGAGAGAATAGAGTATGTCTAAATGTCGCGGGTCGCGACTCGCGGGTAGGGGTCGCGGGTGCGGGTGCGGGTAAAGGTCGCGGGTAAAAATAAACCACCAAATTTAACCAAAAGATAAAATAAACAACGAAACAAAAAATTTCTTTTCTTAACTTTTCTAACGAAGACCAGTCAGCAGCGCAAAGGAAGACTTCTTGTAGTTGTAAGCTTTTCGTTTATTTCCGACACGTTTCGTCTCTTACTGAGACTTCTTCAGGGAATGAATACAACTAATAAAGAACTGCATATAAAACACGTTTTCTGCGTAAGTAAAAATTCCGATAGAAGTGAATAATAACGTAACTTAACTATGCTGTAAATGGACATTATAAGAAACGCCTTAGGGACTTGTCAGAAATTAGCAGGGGTGGAGGGGGGGTGGAAAAAGAGGGAGGGTCACAACTTTTTGAGACTGCAGAAAAGGGAGGGGTCATGAAAAATGGGCCGTTAAAATGGGGAGGGTCATGCAAATATGTGTCCGTGATCATGTTGAGGCTCACCCACAGAAGAAAAAAGAAGCTCTTTATTTTGTAAAAAAAACCTGGGAGAAATAGGAGAGTCGAGTGATCAGCTGTCAGAATCAGGGTCGGACTCTTAATGCTGTCATCTAAAATGTATGTATATGGCATTACAAAGAACAGATTAGAAATATATTTTGAGCTTTCATAATACTGACTCACCCTAGCGTATTGCAAGAACTAAGATTTTATCATTTATACAAGAGGAGGAGGGTCATGATATTTTAGGCCAAGGTCAAGGGGAGGGTTAGAAAATTTCACTCCCATTGCAGGGATGGGTCAACTCATTTCCGAACCAAAATTTAAAATTCCCACCCCCCCCCCCCCCC